TCTCACACACACACACACACACACACACACACACACACACACACACACACACACACACACACACACACACACACACACACACCAACTTGGGTTGTTGTTACGCTTGCGTATCCCGCTGTGAGCTGAACCAAACGCGAGCCTATCACATCATTCTCAACTTGCTTCCTGCTGACTCCATGAAATAAATCTGCTGCTTCGCCACTTGCTGCACTTTGCGGGTCTTAAGAATTCAGTAGAATGTGCTCCATTTGGTTGTCTGCTGCTTGACACACTTCCCAAAAAGCAGTCTTGTTATGATCTAGATTTTTCCTCTTTAACTATATGCAGACACTCTCAGACTTGTTATGTAACAATTATTGGGCCATGTTTTTAGGACATGTATTACAATGTAATGAAGCAGTGGCTCTTAACCTGGGTTCGAGCGAACCCTAGGGATTCGGTGAATCGGACTCAGGGGTTCGACAGAGCCTCTATCATACAATTTTAAAAAACTTGTATTTACTTTTTCCTGTTTTTAATAAATGCATTTTTATAATGTCTTGAATTTGTAAAAAACAAAAAAATATATTTTTATTTTTCACTAAAGAAGGGTTCGGTGAATGTGCATATGAACTAGTTGGGTTCGGTACCTCAAAGAAGGTTAAGAACCATTGTTAAGAGGTTATTAGCGCATTTTTAGAGGAGACATACGATGCAATTGCTTCACAATTTAAAATGGGTCGGTCCCAAGTGTTTTTCGACAAGTGCGTGACAGATTTTGTCAACCCCATGGATCTGAATCTTGCTGGTGAGTGTGTGTGTGCAGAAAACATGAAAACTACTGGATTTCGTGTTCGGTAAACTTTTTTTTTTCATTTGGTTTTATGAAAGTGGGTATTCCTTTGCTGTTTTCTTGTACTTCAGGTAAAATACAGAAAGATGGGAGGAAGGAATCGTGTAAACCCATTCTGAAAGTGGATTATAAAACCTCAAGGAACAGGTGTGTGGTTTTTTTTTTTTTTACTCAGCACAATGATCCTTAAATAATGTAAAGATGATCTTGATATGAGTTATGACCAACTTGAAACATTCAGTAAAATCTGCTTAGTAGCTGCATTGAGGAGTTGAGGATTTTTGTCGACCAAGGAAAAGTCTTTAAACTGTTGTTTTCCTCGCGACAGCGAGCCTTTTGTCATCTTCTCCGGAGGGCTTTCATACGACAAGGCAGGACGACGGCCCACGTTAACCATCATGCACGGCAAGGCAATTACAGTGCTCGAGATGGACTATCCTATTGTCGAGTTCATGACGCTTTGTGAGACTCCTTACAATAACGGTGAGCACAAACAAAAGTTGCGGGAGAATTGTCAAGGTTGAAATTGTTTTTTTTTCTAGAATTCATTTTTACGAAGGAGACATGACAATGACTGCAAGAGCTAGACAGTATTTCCTCTGATTTTATATTTTGCAGAGGTGCAGGATCCTTATGCAGTGGTGGTGCTTTTAGAAAAGGATTTAATAGTGGTGGATCTGACGCAGAGCAAGTATGTACCATATTTTGACAGAATATAAGTCGTTTTCGAACAGAGTGGGATATTATGGATGTGACATCCTTATTTGTTGTCTCTGAAGAAGCGGCGATATCACCCGGAACCCTCTGAGGGACAAGACTAATTAGAGAAATAACGAGTCCAATAACGGCAGAACAAAGGAGAATGAAGACATTAATGTCTTTTCTCTTTATGATTTCCACAGCTTCCCCGTCTTTGAGAACCCTTACCCCATGGACATCCATGAGTCTCCAGTTACATGCACAGCTTATTTTGCAGACTGCCCTCCGGACATCATCCCTGTCCTTTACTCCATAGGAGCCAAACACAAGAAAACCGGCTACAGTCAAAAGGTTTGGTTTGAATATCATTTTCTAAACAGGAAATGCCTTTTTTTCCAGCATAATCTTGCAAAGTACTTTAAATTCCATGATCATAGTTGGACGTCACATCATCCTTGCCGCAAGTGACCCACTACATACGCAGAGCACTTGCAGCAACTTTAAACGTGACGGCATACACAGGAAACTCGCTATAGTTTTTTTTTTTTGCAGATTTTGTCATATGACGTTCTGCATTAAGCGGATGATGAAAATGTCAAGTGCTTTTAACAGAAATCAACATTTGTTTGTTACCATACCAGGAATGGCCAGTTAGTGGGGGAATGTGGACGTTAGGCTCTCACACCTACCCAGAGGTCATCATTACGGGGTAAGTCCTAACTATTGTATTTATTGTGGTGCCAAGTGATACGATCTTAATGTATTCCGTGATTATGATTGTAGCTTGGAACACTCATATCTCAAATCGTCTTTTCCAATTGAAATGAATGGACAGTCCATTAATCTGTACATGGCTGCCCCGAAAAAAACAAAAACAAAACAATCAAATACTTTTCCCGCACCATCTTATTGTGTTTTTTGCGCATTTCTGATAAGTGTACCAATTTCTGTATGGCCCAGTTGCATCAAATTAAGTGCTGACTATTTACATGCTTTTGTTTTGTTTGTTTGTGCTCAGTTTATATACCATTCCAATTGATATCCTTTTCTCGCCCAACTAAGGAAAATGTTATTTTGTTTTCTTCATTGAAGGGTTCCCCAAATCCAATGTGAGGGCAAGATGATAGTGTTTTGCATTAGCTGTTTTGTGGGCCTCATAATTTTAGATTTGAGACTCTGCCAAGTCCAGCATAATGAGCAGAGCGCAGAGTGGGGCTATGCCGCACTCTGTGAGGTTGGCAGAGATGTTAAAGCATTCTGAAGCAAACACGCAAGCTGGTCTCTGCTGCTGCATGACTCCTGCAGTCACGTTGTACCTCATCTTTTAGTGTTCTGTTTTTTTGGTGTTGTTGGTGGTATTTGTTGTCACATGGTTGATAATGATTTTTTATTTTAAATAATGCAAGAAACAACAACAACATACACACACAAAAACACATCTTGGCATGCAGGTAAGGTTTGTCCAGCCATACTACTGTAGCAAGGATGCGGAAGAGTTAGAGAGCCTGCTACGTGTATAATTAAGGATCTTTCTTAGCGAGTGAAACATTATTTACAACCTAAATTATTCCATATATTTATTGTCATTGTGCTTCTTTGTCCAGACATGCAGATGGATCAATCAAATTTTGGGATGGATCTGCAAGTAAGTCCACTCTACAGGATAGTTTGACAGCTGGTGTGTTTATAAATATCACATTATGAGATTCTCAGGTTTGACAAAAAATGTTAATCACATCAACTTGTGATTTTCAGACACAATAGGTAACCAACATTTGTGTGTACTGTACATAGATTAGACCAGTGATTTACAACTGTGGGATATCATCTCACTTCACTTAATTGGTTTGAAATTATTATTTATGTACTATCAGGGTTTTTCCTGGTTCAAATTGAGGCAGAGGTTGTACCATCCTGACCATGCGCCACAACTTGCATGTACCGTATACTGCAATGTGCTCCGTTAAAAACAACAACAACAAAAAAAAAACCTTTTAGTTTTTGTAACTTGCCTCGTTGAGTGTTTTTAGGTACTACCATCTTTAATACACTTCTCCTGCTCTTCTGCTGCTTTATGAATGGCCGTCACCTCATAGCTTTTTAATGTGTCCAGCCTGTACATGGTTCATGGCTGCCTTAAAAGGGAGGCAGCATTGCCTGCTGTGTTGGGGCGCAGTGCGTTTGCCATCAATAACAGTGCATGCCTTTCTCAGTATCCCTGAGGGAGGTAAATTCATTCAGCCACTGCTTGTCCAAGCCACTGGCTCGTGTGTTTTTGAGACGATATAGGAAGAGGAATTTAAAAAAAAAAAAAAAAAGTTTCAATCATGTCCAACGTTGACCTTGTGCTGTTGTTCTAATTGGAAATGGATTTATGTAGCCTTGCTGAGACCGGTTGAAAAAAGTGACCAATCAGGACGCCAATAGCGCTCACTAGCGGGGGTGGGGGGGAACAAAAAGCAAAACACAAAACGATACTGTTTCTTCTTTGGTAGTTGCTTCAGGTCTTTCCTGTGAACTGCTGTTGATATAGCGCCTCCATGGTGGTGCAATGCTGCAACTGCATTTAAAATATGTAGCCGCCGCAGGGAGACATCAATCGCTCAGTCAGCACAGCTGGAGCTTTACTTTGTCAATCTGCCTCGCTGGGGGCGGCACAAAATTAGCTGGAGGCGGGTGCCACGCAATTTTGAACGCAGGAAAAACCCTAGCTATACATAACATACGTGTTCATCTTTCTATGCCAGCAACCTATAGTGACAGACGAAACAATTAAAAGTTCTTCCACTGGAGGTCAGAAAGTAGAATTATTCTGTGTATCCACCTTTTGCCATACGACACAATTGCAGCTTTGTGGTCAACTAAACAGACACAGATTTCACGATGAGTAAGTAAATTGATATGAGATCACTTTTTTTTTTTTAAGTATAAAGTATACACTTTTGTGGCAGTGCACCATTTATTTTTTCCACTGAAGACATACATAACTACTACATCATACACACATAATAAAGGTGACCCAAAGGTAAATCTGTTGATGCGTATGTCCATGCATGACATTAAAAAAAAAAAAGAATAAAATCTGGAAAATACTGTACTGCAAAATAGTTTATTTTTCACCAGCAACTATCAGCAGTCTGGAGCAGTTTGATAAGTCATAAAACTGAATATGTTGTTCCAGATGAAACTGTCAGCCTGGGGAAAACTCTTTCTGACAATTATAGATGCTGCTTTTCATCACACAGTGCACAGGTGTTGCATTTTGTTGTAATTGTGTTTTCTCCACAAATAAATACTTTTCCAATCAGTTACACTGCAGATGTTATACAAGCTGAAGACCTCCAAGGTGTTTGAAAAGCCAAAACAAAATGAGGGTCGTGCTGCAGAACTGGTGGACGATGACCCCTTTGCGGTGCAGATGGTCAGCTGGTGTCCCCAAAGTCGCATCTTTTGTGTCGTTGGGATCTCGGCACACATCATCCTCTACCGCTTCAGCAAATATGATGCCAACACTCAGATTGTGGTGAGTCAGATGAGTCCATGCCCTTGTCACAGCCGGAAACTTCCAGTCCTTCTAAGGATTGTTTGTACTCCATATCAAAACTCAAATAATTCGCATCCCATGTTTTGATGGACTGCCAGCCAGTCTGTCCTCATTTGAATTTTAGGATTTTTTGATTCAACGGTGAATTTATGTTGATGAGGATTGGTCATCACTCCATTACAGAGCACATGTAGACATACAACATTCACATTCATGCCTACGGACAATTTAGAGTTGAATGATGAATTAATCCAACACATTTATACGAAGCGCAGCAAAACCAATCAAAAGTGAGTACATGAGAACATCACACAAGTTAAATCAATTTATGTATTCCTTAATCACAGAAAAGTCTCAAATGCCTACAGTTGACACATATTAATAACATCCCCTGTTCTTGACCCCCAGGAAGGCAAGGAAAAACAAAAAAAACCAAACAAACAAAAAGAAAAACACCAGGCGAAAAACTTGAAATGTTGAGAAGGGGTTGCAGATGCAGGAATCCCCCTTGCAGGATGGCCCGGCTATAATGGATGCCGAGTGGGCAATGTTTAACACAATATGGTGCGATACGATGTTAGAATAATGTAAGTGTCCATTTAATAAGATGCAACACTGCGGGAAGATGTGTTCACAGAGGTGGGTCCTCCTCAAAACCCGGCCTATTTTGTCAGTGAAAAAATCTCTATAGCAGCCTCTCCCAAGTAGGTGGTCCACCTCACATGGAGATTCAAACTTTGATGTCCTGACTGTGAACCTGTTCCAACCTGCTTCCCATTAATGTGTTCAAAAAAGAAGTGTTCTCATATTGCAAGATAATAATATTCGTCTCCTCCCCAGTCTCTCGAGGTGCGACTGCAATGTGATCCAGAGGATGTCATCTCTCCATCGGAAAATGAAAACAATCCCTGCTTCTCAGAGCCCCACTCAGGCTCCCACTCTCCTCAGCCCCACCACCAACACCCAGCAAGCCCTGGCAGCGGAACACCCGAGTCTTTCAAAGACTGCACCCCTTGCCTTAAGTAAGTGATTTCTGATTTTCATCAAAGGCATCAAAATGAGTCCCGCGGGACCTGTGTGTGGGAAGGATATATACGATAGATGAATATTGTGTGACCTTATGGTAAAATGTCTTATAGGCACTGAATTGGAATTAGATGACTAGATGCTAAGGACAATATGACATGGCTGGAAAGACTGTTATGTTCCTGCACAGTAATGTTCATGGTTCAACAATGATGCCCGCGACAAAACATCAATTGTGAAGCCTTATTATGTAATTCCTTTCAACATTGTTGTCTGTTTTTTAGGGTAAAGGATCGGGCGGTGCGGGTACCTCCTGGCTACCAGGCAGAGCTAGTGATCCAGCTGCCTTGGATGGACGGAGAACCTCCACAGCAAATCTCAAGCCTGGACATAAACTCCGCCTATGGCCTGTGAGTCACCCTCTGTATTTTTGTCAGGAACCTTAAGGGAAAGTGGTGGTTTTCGGAGGTAAACGGCCATCATAAAGTACAGTACTATGTCAGATGGAAGTCAGAGCAGAGTGTTTTTCGTGTTCCACTTTACATTTCGGGCTATCTTACACTAGTGAGGATTGCAAGTATATGGCGCTTCCATAGTTTACTGCTATTTGTAAAGCAAAACAGCTGGTGGAAAACTGGAGCAGGTTACAGGACGAATCACTGGAACTAACCAGCTGTGTTAGTGCTCATTGGTTCTGTTTATGTGCCAAACAGGCATTTTATTGATTTGAGCATGCACTTGACCGTGGTGCTCTCTTTGTTTCCTTTCTCTTATTTGTATGGCTTCCACTGTCATATTCAGAGGCCATTGTACTGAACCCACAGGGTAATTAGTAAATTATCTCGTAATTGAAGGGTTAGGGTTAGAACCTTGTCTATTTGGTTAGGAAAGCATCCAAACTCAGCTTGAATATATAGTGCACTCCCATTTGAAAAATTTCGGCACACTTTTGCCTGCGTTCGAATTAAAAGCTATTTCCAAAGTTTCGACTGGCAGTGAAAGTGTATATATTTTTTTCTTTTTTTGATGATTCTTTCCAAATCAAACAGTTGGGCACGGTTATTGTCCTTCTATTGACTGTTGATCAATTAACCCTTTCATGCGCCCTGTAACCTGATAACATGATAAGCTGTCCACTGGAGCAACCGCTGTCCCTGGAAGTGTTAATAAGCCCATTGCTTGCGTTTGGTTGGGTCTCTCAAGAGCCTGGTCCTTGACGTTCATTTCAATGCCCTGAAATACACCTTTTGATTTGTATTATGCACAGCATAGTGCTGTAGCAGATATCATGTTTGCCTCACAGTTCGAAGGTTCTGGGTTCAATTCACTGGTCCGCCCTTCCTTTGTGGAATTTGTTGTTTTCCCATCTTTGTTTGGGGTCTCCTCTGTCTTATCCAGATTCCTTCTACATTCTAAAAAGATTCATGTCCACACTGTAGGTATGAATGTGAAAGTGAATTGCTGGCTCGCAAGCATTTTCCTTGAAAGATAAACCAGTTTATCATCATAATAATGAGAACAATGCAAAGCACTTGAAAAAGAAAACATGTTGACTACTTTTCTGCATAAGCAAGGACACCAAACCTCTGTGGTTGTAGAACAAAACATTCTGCATTTCTGTGGTCTGTTTGGGTTTCTTTGTGTTAGAGGAATATATGAACAGAATGATATCATGTTTAAAGTTCCATTTTTAATTTGGGCCCGTTTATCACGTGTTGTGTATTTAGCGCCCCCCAAAATGTCTGTGGGCAAGGGTGTCGGGGCCGAGCGCTCTTTGAAGTCGACAGGGAGTCGTCTTACAGTTTAGGAGTAAACAGTTTCGGAAAGAAGTGTTTTAGAACATCAAAAGACTTTCTGGGAACTGGTCGCGGCCCAGGCGACCATTTGTCATCTGTGAAGTCTGCGACTTGTTTATTCGTGGGAGACGGTGTTAAAGTATCTGTGGTTCAAAGCTTGAGGGGGCCGGACTGGGGGCATGGTATTCAAATATCGGGGGCAGTGTCTTTCTTGTATTTTGCAGATGTAAACAATAAAAGACCGACGAGGAACACGAGTGACTTTGAGTCTGATCGCGGAGCAACTGCCCGCCGTTCACTCTGAGCGATCCGCTCCTGTCGGGCTGCACCAACAACCTTCCCTGAGTCGAGTTTTTCTGTTTAAACTTGTCCGGGTATAACTCTGACACTTTGTGAAGACATTACTGTGAGAAATCAGCATGTCTTTCACACCAACTAAAAGCAAAGTATAGAGCCGAGAACTGCTTTAGGTGACTGAGTGCCAGCCTACGGATTCAGCCAGCATTCAGACTCGTTTTGTGATGGTATATAATGTTTGTCTCCTTCCCAGTCACGAGAGGTATGTCTGCAGTGTGAGCCGGAGGATGTCAATAGTGTACTGAACCTCATGATATGATGTCATTTAGCCAACTATTCTGGTGGTTATAGCCTCGAACAAGGAATTTGGGAACACAATTATAACGTGTTTGTCAGGAATTCTGCCATAAGCACACCTCTCATATGGTGTGATGTTTATATTTTCACCATGCAGAAGAATAAACGGCAAGGTGTTGCGCTCTCATTCCAGATCTGGATGTTTCTCTCTAAATGTAATTTTTCCCAAACCTGTGCTTTTTGACTTTTTAGAGATGTCCATCTCTTTCTCATTTCTCTGCTTCTTTTGAAGGAAAGAAAGCAGAAGGCTTGTGCAGTTTGGAGACGAGGGTCATGGGGAAAAGGGAACAGGGGAGCAACGAAATAGAGCAATAGCAATTGAAATTTAAAATGTTAAGAGGGGTGAATGCCCATAACAAAAAAAAACAAAACAAAAACCAATAACACCACGTTTCTGATACAGGCTTTCCATGTATTTGGGGCCATCAGTGTTGATCCATCACTTTAATTCTGAATTGGTTCTCGAGCAGAGGAATAGCAATTGGCTATGGAGCTTGTGGGAAATCAAGTTGAACTAGAATAGCACTGAGAGCACAGATTTGCCAAGATTGAACAATCCTACCCATCGTCTGCATGTCTGAATTTGTCCCCAATTGTGACACTTAAAAATATGTGGTCACAAATATTTTGTTGACAGTAGCATATTTCGAACTCTGAATTAATTTTCTGAGCAAATGTAGATAAAGTTACTTTTCAAAATTATTTTGAGGAAACAAAAGAACAGAATCATTGTTTTTTGAGTTTTTTTGCGTCCAGGTTCCTGAGGGAGCTCCTTCCCCTTGCCTTCAGAGGAAAGTGGTGAAAGAGAGTGGTTGTGTTTTCACTCCCTCTACACAGTATCTGTTTTTTTTTCAGGTTAGTAATGCTTAGATGGTCCTTCAAATCAAATGTTTACCAAGTTAAACATTGTACGAACATGTTTGTGATTGTAAGGTAAATATCTTATGACCTGTGTTAACGACCTCGATGACATCGACGTCTAGCACGCACGGTGTATGAGCCTAATTAACTGCTCACTGCTAACGGCATGTTATTGAGCACCTTTGGTAGCGCTGCTAACTGTACTAAAGGTCCCAGCACGATTATTTTTCATAAGTGTGATGTTAATATGTACAGAATGTGTCATAATACAAAGGTGTGAATGTTTTGTTTAAAATTACTTAGTGAATTATGAATAAATAAAAGCTAATGTTATGGAAATAAGTCTTCCGTGTGCAATCGTCCTCTTAACACTGTTTGTTACCTAGCTTATTTATTTGTTGATGTGGAATCGCAGTAGGAATAATTTGACTCCTTTCAGAAGCCACGATAAAAGCTGATGTGGAAATAACTATTGAAAACTCTAAACCTATTTTTGTTCATGATCAAATTGTCATGTTCTGTCTGTTTTGCTTGTGTTAAAGCTCCAGCTGGAATGAAGGGCATTTCCCTTTAGCAGGTGCACCTATTCCGCATTTCCCAATCAAGCCTTGCCAAGTATTAAAGCACTGCCAAGTTGCCAAGTCTCTCTCGGATTATTGACCTTGCTTGCTGTTGTGCCTCAAGTGTTGTTTTCTTGACCTCTCTGTCATTCATAGTCACTCTCATTTTTCATAGTTCTTTGTATTTTATTATTTCGTTTGTGTATTTTTTGTGTTTTTCCTTGGACCTTGCCTTTTGCGAGCGCTTTTAGATAATGCCATGTTTTTCCTGCCTCGTTTTGTTCAGTGATTTTTGTTTGTACTTTGTCGGTACGCTTTTTCTGTAAAATAAATATTTTTGGTTATCGCAATTTGTCTGAGCCTGTACTTCTGAGATCCAAAATATTATTTGGTTAATTTCTGAACCTGACGCAAATGTCATAATGCATTTTGAGTGATTTATTCATTTGTTGAAATAAAGAGAGGAAACTTGGGATCGAAAGAAAGTGGTCCTTGTCTTCAACCCTTCTCTACATTGCCTGTTTTTTTTTTTTTTTTTTTCAGGCATTTAACGCTGGCCTAAATCTTTTTGTTATCCAGGACCTCAAGAGTTCGGGACCCGTAACACAATCTTACAAAAGACAATTTTGTATCAACACTGTAATCTAGATAAGCGACTTTACTGTAGTTACTGTATTTTTATTTTATTTTTTACATTGCCAAGCTGACAAACAGCAATGCGATATTATGAAGTAATGTCAAAATATATTCAGATGAAAAAATGTAGGTCAAATACTGAGCTGTTCAGACATCCATCCATCAAATTTCTGTAGCACTTCTCTTCAGTCAGGTTGTGGCTAAGTGGAAGCCTATCTCAGCTGCCTTTGGGCCTAAGAAGCACGTTTTTGCAACGCGGTAGGGAGCCGCACTACTCAAAAAAACACACCACACAATCCCATGCAGGCACAGAGAAACCATTCAAACTCCACAGAGGAGGGCCTAACATGAGATTTGAACCCTTGGCCTCTCGACTGTGAGGCAGACATGCTCACTGTATTGCCCCCCCCCCCCCCCCCCCCCCCCCCCCCCTCCAATCACAATCAGAAACAAAACAAATAGAATTACATGTGCATTTCAAACAGCCGCATAGCTTTGCCGTAAATCTGCTTAGTTAATGCTAACATTGCAAACTGCCAGAGATGGGCTCACGAATACCATCTACTTGGTGACATTATATTGCTGTAAAGAACCGATATATAACAAAAATGATGTCATATACATAATAATCATAGACATCAAATGTATTCTTTACCCTTTGCAAAAAATTACTAATATTACATCAGGGTATTGAGACACAGAGTTGAAGTAAATGACTCAATCAGTAATGCACACCAGAAAGAGACACAATGAATTAATCATGATGCACAAACTATTTATTTCTTCAAATTGTATTTCATTCTGTAACTATTATTTAATGGTTTTTACAAAGTACAATAGTAGGAACTGCTATTTTACTCATTAAATAACATTGAACATTTTTTGTTGGTGTTTTGGGGGACGATGAAACGGGTTGATATGGTTTCCATTCATTTCAATGGGAAAATATTATTTAAGATCCCAGTGTTTTGGGTTACGAGCTGTTGTATCTCAAGGCACCACTTCCTTGGGAATTAGGATAGGATGTGAGGGCTCAAAACGTATCATTGTGAAAATCATCCATGTAAATAATCCATATATATGCATCTGCCTTCCCTCTGTATTTTTGTGTCCCCAGTTTGGCATTCGGGAACTGTAATGGCCTTGCGGTGGTCGACTACTTGCAGAAAACCATCCTGTTGTGCATGTCCACTCTGGATTTGTACGGTGCCGCTGATCCCTATCAACGCCTTACCCGCTCCCCCCGCAGGAACAGACAGTCCACCTCAGGTAGTGAACACAAACATAAAGGCACATACACACACTTATTTGTCTGTGCATGTAGTTAACTAACACACTGAACACCCTCTCAAACTTCAAGAGTCAATTATGTAGGCTTCCTTCTTTGTGCACTTGCACTCCTCTATCTTCTCTGGAGCTGCTTGCATAATTGGAGGCTGATCTATGTTTAAACTGGACTATCCACGGGTACCTTTCACGGTTAATCAATAATGCAGGTGGTTTAATTAGATTTCTTAAGTAATCAATACCATTCCCCTTTAGATCTTAATCAATCAACACTAAAGGAAACATTAAAAACTTGCCTCTTAACGTAAATGGTTTTGACCAGGTAGACTGCTCACACGTTTAAAAAAATTCATCAACATTCATTCACATGCAAAATGTGATTACTGAGTATGAATGTTTAAATGTATCCCACTGAGCTATTTGATCTGTTTGATATCAAAATACAATTTCATATGCTGATGGAACATTCTTTATTCAGAACGTTAGTCTGACAGTTTTGCAGACGTTTCTCTCGGACTGATGATGAATTCGTATGGATTAATTTTCTACAATATAGAATGTATTATATTCCAAGTAAAGTAAAATGGAGCTTATGTTTCAATACGGTATGTTTTTTTTGTTTTTGTTTTGTTTTGTTTTTTAAGAATGAGGTGTCCATATTGTACAGGCACATATTCAGATATTGCAACTCTTGCTTTTTACAGGACCTTCATTAAATTGTATTTTTAAACCTTCTTCCACTGAATGTATTTAAAAAAAACAAACCAAAACTCTAAACAGTACTTGATCTTGATTATTCTGCCAAATATAGGAACCAACAAAGACCATCATTATCGGAGTTAGTCCAACAAAACATTGCGCGAAAAAAAGATCCCTTTTTCCTGCTCTCCCTTGCTTTCTCTCGCACAATTTAATACAAAGACCAAAAAAACAACAATCCATTCACACATATTTGCCTGTCACACATATGCACTCTGATATGAAGTGCATGTTAACAGGATATGTGTGTCAGACTGAGATGCATTCTTATGCATGTTGTCCTTTCCGTTATGTCCTGTCTATATTTTAGCACTGCTTGAACTGAGGCCTTAAGTCAAAAGGCATCCTGTAGAGGTCTTGTCGTCCCGCCTGACCTACGCCTCCCTTCTCCTTGAAACTGATCTTCACTGTCAAAAGACTTTTTTTTTTTGCTTCCCCCTCCCCCCACACTAATGATCTGTCAAAATGTCCACTCTATCTCTGAATACATTATCTACAACATCCTTCAATGTTTTAGATCGGATACCCATGCTGCTTTGAAAAGTGGTCGGATTTTATGTTACATAATACCCACAAGTGTAGCCAGCATGTTTCAAAAGGATTCGATGTTTGCTTAAAAAGGCCCCGACTAGGTAGATGGAGGGTTTCTTTTGAGTTTGAGAGGTAACTCTTTTCACTGGCTGTTGCATAAGGGCTGTTATTGGCTTCTACCGCCTTTATGGTTTATAAAGGTCCCTCTGTTTTGGCTTTACAAGATCAATTTGGAAAGGAAAAAAAAAACCGCCACCGTGGCCTTTTCGCGCACCGCAGGTGGTGCGAGATTTAACAGAATACAATGCTGAACAACAGGACCAGCCGACACCAGTAAAATGACACATTTCAACTCTTTCTGTTAGCAAGTTTTCATTTAAGAGACCGCACAAAAGTTAGGTGATGCACCAACAGCAACATTCTGATGCAGCTTGTACGTAATGGTACTCTTAAAAATTTATTTATACATTTATTTACTTCATTTGAACATTACCTTAGTGTTTCTGCTATTTGATTTCACCTTCTTTTACACTCTAAGACCGTGTGTTCTTTTCTCTTTCCCTTTTTTTCCCCTTCATTCTTCCCCTCCACACACTTGATTTCTCGTATTCCCCCTCCATCCGAAATTAACTCCAATTGCTCTTCTCATTCTTATACCCACTAACGCCTTCACAAACCTCTCACCCGCACTCCTTATTTTCCCACTACTTCCTCCCCACCGTTTCTTCACTCTTCCCCCTCCTTCATCTCCGACCTAATGGTGACTCTGTGGCTGCTGGTGTGGGCATGCGGGCCTGCCTGACAGAGTTTTGCATGCGCGGCCTGTCTAACTTTTATTCCGATTCAAAGAAAAGGATCCGTACATCCTACCAGAGTAAGTCAAGCCTACCAGATAGGTTATACGGGATGTGTGTCCGTGTGTGAGGTGTGTTGGTCTGTGTGTGTGCGTGTGTGTGTGCGTGTGTGTGGCGAGGTGTGTTGGTCTGTGTGTGTGCGTGTGCGTGTGTGTGTGTGTGTGTGTGTGTGTGTGTGTGTGTGTGTGTGTGTGTGTGTGTGTGTGAAGCTTGCTAAGACAACAGGGTTATTGGAAAGGGAATAACCAAGACAAACCAAAGAGATGCTTGGAATGAAGCTGGCTGTGTCTCTGGCCTCATGATGAAATATCAGAACTGATTGAGCCAGTAAACCCGAGCTGCCTGTTCCAGCCATGTCCAATGGTTTGCTCATTGCAGAAAAAGCCACTCCGTGGTGTCTGTTATTAGTCCAGTCCAGTTACGAATGTTGTGATCCATTTGATGACCTCGGATTTTTAAAGTGACAGTGAGTAGAGTGAGAACACAATACGTGCTCACTTTGTACAAAAAGTCAACGAGCATTTGGGACAAAAATTTGGGACAGTAAAAATAAAATCTCTTTTAAATGCTTGTGCATGATGCATGCATTGATATTACAATCCTGCATGCATTTATTTGGGTTTTATACTTTGCTGTATGTCACTTCAATGTGAGATTTGCCCTACTTAACACTGCGTTACTGTCATGTCAACATGTCAATGCACACCAGATTTCAGCCACTCTGTGCCTGAAAATGAACAAATGCAAAATGTCTAATTGTAAATCCGCAAATATTAAGTGGATTGAACCGATATTGTTCAAAATCTGGACAATAATCATTAATTTCCAAAACGATGACAACAATAGTTCAATTTTTTTCCTCAAGGGTCCGAGTGGCTGACACTGAGCAAGATGCAATTGTTGAATCTGTTCACGCAGCGATGTCAAAATAATCACACAGAGCGTCTGTATACTATGTTCTCTTCCTCTTGACTGCCATGGGCTGTGGCAGGCCTTACTGAACTATCTGACAACCAGCAGTCTGTTGACACGGAGAGAAGCAAGTCACCCACCTCAGGTAACCAATCACACACTTGCACCATAATCATACTTCTCTAAAATATATCACTTGCTGCTATGAGGCCATGCGGGGGATGCCATCATCTTCAAGAGCCAGCAGCAACTGTGTGGTATGTTCTTACCGGGCCGGTGTCACTTGATCCTTTTTCCACGCCTTGGTTTTTCTTAACACGCCGTTGAACATATTTGAGAAGAGCTGCAAATAATACCTGGTGGTTGGTTACCCCCCCCACCCCCCAAGAAAATAAAGTACTGTTGTTACTTGATTTATCGTTAAGTCCATAATGGGCTTGTTCGGTGTTGCGTGTGATTTCATAATGCATTTGTCATGCAAGCTGTTTGCTGGACAAGGAAGTAAAGTCATGTTTTATTTATGTTGTGATTGTGATGTGGTTATTTTATTTGATATGCTGTGCGGTGGGTCTGTTATAGTTCGTTCTGCTGTGCTGCAAATAAAAGCTTGTTGTCGCTGTCATATTGAAAAGGGATTAACACTTGAACTCTGATCCATCTATCCATTTTCTAATCTGTTTATCCTCACAAGGGTCGCGGGCGTGCTGGAGCCTATCCCAGCTGTATTCGGGCAGTAGGCGGGATACATCGTTAACTGGTTGCCAGCCAATTGCAGGACACATATAGACGAACAACCATTCTCACTAACAATCAGGCCAAGGGACAATTTAGAGTGTTCCATTAACCTGCCATGCATGTTTTTGGAATGTGGGAGGAAAACGGAATACCCGGAGAAAACCCACACAGGCCTGAGGAGAACATGCAAACTCCACACAGGAAGGCCGGAGTTGGATTAGAACCCTACACCTCTGTTGGCTGTTATTTTCTGAGCATACAAACGCGTAACTTAGAAATCTAAAAATGTTTTTTAAATTTCCTCAGTAAATGATCGGTGAACTCAGAATAGATGTGTCACTCCTCGGTGCAGATGGACAAATTCACTGCTGCTCTGCCCCCGGATATGCAACATGATCGGTGATAATTTGGCAGCTGGAAAGCCTTTGTATGACATCAGTCTTGCTGTACATCATAGATGAATGTATTACAAATGCTCTTATGTTGGTGGCCAGGCGTGTTGGGGAGACAGGCAGACAGAAGACACTGGTTTGAGGCCGCTGTCATGAACAGAAGATGAGAGAAAGCCACGAGTGGCCAAGCTCAAGCAGTATGAATAAGCTTGGGATTTGTGCCTGGGCAATTTGAGGCGCAAAGTGAGGTGTGTAATTGAAGCTCCAAGTGTCATGGCAACAGTGGGGGTGCACATATTATCAAGTGTGCACGCGCACGCGTCGGGAGGATGACGTGCACGTCGATGTGCCCTTCCCAATAAGAGCACAAACTATGAATGATTAGATTTATTTTAATTTGAAAGCAATTTGGTTGGATGAGGAATTGTTTCAATATTTGCCTCCCTTTATCAGTTCAATCACAACTGGGGTGGTAATATTGCATGATTCTTGATGACAACATTTTAAGCGTCTTTGCTGACAATTTAATGCTTTTATGCAACTCGTAATTGTTCGATCGAGCTCTCCTAAGTGCCATATTGTTTTATGTGGCAAATGAAAATGATCTTGATTTGTGGTTTTAATACAGCAAGCTTGTTTTGTACATTATAATACAGACAAATGAACAATTTCATATTTTAAGACGTGACGACCAACAAAGGAAATCCTATTTCTAGTTTCCCCTTCTTTCATTCAGTCTGTTATTGTTTTGATTTGACTTCAGGACACCAATGGGCCCCCTTAAGAAGAGAAGCAAACACGATGAGGCAAATTAAATAGAACTGCTTGCCATGTCTTGGGAGTCTTTTCGAACTGTGATGTGAAAAAGGTCATTTTGTTTTGTTATATTATACAAGGTATGCAAACTGAGATGGATGTAATGTATTATCCAAACGGGTTAGGATGATCTTTTTACCTCCCGTTGAACATTAAAGTCCATCTCCATGTGTGGCTTTATGGTTGTGCTTCTGTCCTCCAGGTTCGAGAAGGCAGGCTAGTTCATTTAATATGTCTCTCAACTTTCCTTTGTCCTGACTTGTCCATGCACTTTTTTTTTTTTACTCCTTTTTGTCGTTAGGCGCATTCATTTGCATTTCTCCTGCCTGAAAGCAGCACCCGCCCTCCGCCCCATTTTAAGCATTGTCTTTCTGTGCTAGTGCCATTGTTTGAAGAAGCTTTGCACCATGTTTGGCTGTAATATAGCAGGGCCAGACCCAGTCAGGAGATGGGCTAATAATCTGACATGTCACTGAGCTCTGCTTCACCCGGCAGGATATATTTAGATGTGTGCATGTCACGGGAAGAAGGTAGTGTGCTGAGGTAATGTAGGTGACATGACTTGGTTCAGCTTCTTGCAGGTCAACTGGCTTTCTGAAAAGAGGATAACTAGTTTTAATTTATGAGAACTGTGTACAGTATTTCAGCTCATTCAAATTGCTTCAAGGTCTTTATGAGTTATTCATGATGTGTTGCATGAAGCATTTGACTTTACAGTGGTAATTGGATTTCATTTTTTGTGCATGCACATTTGCATAAATGTGGTTACGTAAATCATTATGGTAATGATTTTCTCACAAATGGGAAAAAAAAAGCCCTTCTAGAGAATCGCTCCCTCTGCACCACAACCACCTACCTTTACCAAATTCCAAATTTAGCCAACAGTTGCAGTCACGAATCTTCACTGAAGTGTAAGGAGCATGCGGTTCAAACCTCTGCGGTTTCAAATGCCTCTATTTACAAAGCATGAGTAAAGTATGAGTGGGCGACACTGATGCGCATCGTTGTTTCACCTCTGTGACTTTTGCGTTGTCAGCTGATGACAGATACAATTGCTGTGCTTGAGGAGGTTCTATTCTGTTGTGAACAGTTTTGGCAAAGACATGTGAAGGCTTTTCTCACAACAATTTAGTTTTTTTTTTACAATTAGTTTAACACTATAATTCTTGTTCATGTTGAGATTTAGTAAATGAACCGGGAGGAAGTAACATGGCGTAAGCTTAAACATTGCTGGTCTGTGATTGTAAGTGGCAAACTATTGTATTTGGAGTCTAGTGTATTTTTTCTACACGTTGCTAAACTCCCACGGTTGCTATGGGGCCCACTTTTGGTATAGGACGGTGTTGTGAAAAATGCCATAAAAAGCCAAAGAAAAACACAACACCGAGTTAATCGTTTAATGCTGACAGAAGTGAGGTTATGGATGGTGTGGCTTCAAACTGCAGTTTGGTGACATTTCTGAGGCATGTTCTGTGTACATCGCAAAAGCTTTTATTGAATTACTAATTAGTATTGTACGACATCAGCTGGGTGATTGACATCCGTGGTTCCCCTGTAAAATAGACAACTCACTTTTCACAAGGGGACATTTTTGTGTGCAGTTCATCATTTATTTGGCTCAAGCCTTGACAATGCAGTGCCACTGTGGCCAATGTAGAAACAAAACAAGACAGCTTTTCTTGAAATGAATGCGACAGGTACCGTATATTTTAATGTTGCGAGGGCCACACTCTATTATGTTAAAAATCACTGGAGTGGTGTTGCTGCTGCGCCCCCTATGCCAGTAATCAACGTGTGTCAGGTATACCTATGGTATATATAAACATGTCTCATTATGAATCACCTCACATTGCTGTTCTACAGTTACTGGCAAGTCTCTCTTTTCCAAAGTTGACCCATAATGTGTCTCTTTCCCTTTTGCTCTGAAAAGTCTTGTTTGTTCTGTTGGATCTCCTATTCCAGTTCATTACCCAACCTCCCTTCACAATGACCCACGCGTCCTGCCAGAGCCTGTGGCCAGTTTGAGAGCCAGCCACTGCAGCCCAGTCTTTTACTTATTGGACAATGGTAAGAGGAGGGATTGTGTCACAGATCCACCTCATAGACATCTGTTTGTGGCTTTTACACTGTATGCAGAAATGAAGTGGACAATGGCAAGTGGGGTGGTTTCGGACAGGTGTCTGGTTCTGTGTTGTGCCATGCATGCTAAGTGGGTTGTGCGCACTGTGGGCAATAACACATGCAAATATTTACTGTATATATTTTTTTAAACAGCCAAGTATGATTTCATGAAATATGTGAGTTAAATACTCCTACTACTACTACTACTAATAATAACCCAATGTATGCAATGCAGGATTTTATTTCATGGCATATTATTTTTTTCAAACAGTAAAATTGCACCATCAGGCCGCTACACACCACAGTACACCAAGGGTATGGATGGAAAGCCATCTGAGCATATAATTAATGTCCTTGATATCCAGTTCAAGGTTCATGTACTAGTATGCCCTTTGTTCTCACCTGTAAGACGATTCATAACTGTGTCTTAATATTACTATTAAGACGGGGGGGTTTTCCACTACTAGTGGCTACTTTTAGCCTCCTAGTCTGAAATAAACTACTGTGTTGCACTTACTAGTACAGTACGAGCACAGTAGTTTATATTGGCATATAGTAGGCATGTGGCATGCCCTAGTAACATTCTGCGCTCGTTCCACCAAAATACTTCAAATAGTTTTGCCTCATGAATAATATGTAGTTGTCCTACTCGTATGCCAAACTGTCATACGGCTGTGCAGAAATAGTGAAAGTAAAAATAATAATAATCATAAAAAGTTCATAGTCAGATGTAGCTATTTTACAAGAGTACCGTAGTCATGCTCAAACATCCTTCCGTGAAGCTGTTTTCATAAAGCCGATTGAGCATTCATGATCATGTCCTTGAATTCCATCTTAACGTCCATGTACTAGTGTTACTCTTGTCATCGCTAGTAGCAGGGCAACCTTGACCTACTAGCTGGACAACTGCATGTTACCAGTGAGGCCAAACTGTATACTGTGTTTGACAACTGGATGCTACTTGTAATACTAGTTAACATCTAGAACTTCACTAGTAGTACACAGATGTCAACTAGTGCACATTTCTGCCTCACTAGTAACATAGCTGCCCGACTAGTGAGGCAGAAATGTCATATAGTCGTTGAAAATAGCAATTCCACTTGCGCGCCCCATTTGTTCTACTAATGCGCTCAGTTGTCACTCGTGAGGACCAAGAGCATACTCGCGCATGAATCTTGAACTGGATATCAAGGGCAATCGGTTAAATGCCCAGACGGCATTTCATCCAAGGGGCCGTGTGTTCTAAGAGTAGGCTGTTCTAACATTGTCAGTGTCCTCCATGCTTTCATGCAGGTGACTGTCTCACTGCTCCTGTCATCGCTGAGTAGACGCGTTTGCTTTATGTGTATGAACTTTGACCTATAGGACCCTTCACGGCAGGTAGACAAGGGGAAGACAAAGGGTTTGCATTTCCATGGGATACTTCTCTTTTTCTCTAGCGTTTCATTGTGTTCATCACCGCTTTGCCCAGTGAGCCACAACATGGCCTTACATTATTGGCACGCGCAACATCGAATTTCATACGATAATATTCTCTTGAACTCCGCATTCAGCACTGTCTGTCTTGTCTCTTGTACTCATTGTGTTGCTAATGAAAGTGATCTTTGCTTATTTGGAGCCAGCATACATTCAAGATGCTAATTTGAATTTTTCAAGACAACATAATTATGAATCAGCGGGTAAAGACTGAACGGTTGGACAAATGGTCTGACATCTTTTGAAATGTTAAGTGAGTGCAAGCTACTCATGAGACATTGCAATTCCAAATGTTTGATAGCATAACAAAACCCCACAAACCGTCACACAAAGGGGAATTGTAGATAGGAATTGATCATTTAACAACTGCGAACGTAAAACACTATGGTGATGATTACATATGTTCATCTTCTCAGTAAGCAACCATCTCTCAGCACTTTAGGTTTTTTTTCAAAATATTTTCCATCACCATTCTGTCATGCAAGCCGTATTGCTGTATTTTGAATGCTGCAGCGTCTGGTCAAGGTGCTTTATTATGAAGACCACAAAAGAGCCTTCTGCTCAAAAGTGAGAAGAGTTATTTAAATTAGAGGTCTGCTTATCCTCGGCGCTCAAGCAAATACTGTATATTTTTCTGTCAAATGATCTTCAATACTGATCTCCCGACGAGGCCATGTTCACACAAAGGAAGAGCGACAGACATATTCAAATGAATTCATGGTCAAGTTGTATTCACTAAAACTTTTTTTTTTTTTTGACGGGAAAAAAAACCCTCATCCTGTCGTCTCAAGTTTAAATGACACAATTATCCACATACTAAATACTTGCAAAATGTGGTTTACAAGTTCTTTTGTTGGCCCCCCCACTGTCTGTTATTTTTGATCTCCGGTCAAATCAGTTTATTTTGGCTTCCTTTTCAGGCATTCCCATTCTGTGCATTCTGATTTTTAAGCAAAACAAGACTGACAAATTCAATGAAACGTTCCCTTTAATGCAGTAGCTGCAATCGTCAGTAGAATGAATTCTTTTCATTTTGTTGCAGCCTGACAAGAGTTAATGCTGCCTGTACTGTAAATAAACCTGATCCAGTGGTTTGTTCCAGTACACCTAAACATGAATCCAAATAAGATGTCATATTTCACAGTCATTGCTGGGAATGCTGATGAGGAACTCCAGTGCAGTGTGCATTTACAAATCTGCACCTGCAGCATTTTGCATGGTCGGGTTTAATTTGAATGATTTGCATTTGGTTTCGATTTCCTTCTTTGACTGCGATTAAGATTTTCTTATGTTCAGTTCTATCTTTGTTTTGTTTTATTTTGTACAGTTTTATTTTTGAAGGGATTAACTGGTGCTTTGTTTCCTATTCCTTTGTTTCAGTAAAAGGACCCGGCAGAAAGTTAAGTCTGCCAACAGATCTTAAGACCAATCTTGGTACGGTAGGCGAAAGCCAGCAGTTTTCACGTGTGTTCCTTTGAATCATTTGGTTTCTACTTTTGTCGTGTTTTCTAGGCTTTTGTGTCGCTTTATTCTTATTTTCACTTCAGTTTCCTTGTCACTCTCTCCTGTTTAACCAGATGGCCTGACGTGTTTGCCCATTTTCTTCCCATTGGTGTCCTCTGATTTGATTTTAATCTTCTATCTTCATTTCTTCTACATTTTGCAAGTGTTTATGTAGGTAACTTGTAATCCATAACTCTTATTTCGACATGAAGCTTTCTATCACATTATCTTGACTGGTCCATCTGCTTATTTTTTGCAATCTTTCCTCCATTGACAGCGTTGCTCGACAGTGAATGGATCACGTGCTGCCTCCCTCATTGTAACTGGATCATTTTCTTCTTTAACAGCATCGCAGCAATTTGAACGTTCTCGCTATACATGTCCAACTGCATCTCCATCATTGTGGGTTCCCTTTTGCTCTGCCTCTGCAGGATACCACATGCTGTCTCTCCTAAAAACGTTCTCAAACTACACAAGTGCCTATATATTCCACTGTAATAACCTTATGTTTTTCTTGCAGCCATAGCAAAAGTGGTACCCCAAATTTCAAAGTCCAAATCAAAAGAGACTACAATTCCATGTTATGTGTAAGGTCATTGGCAAAGGAAAAACTGTTGTTCATCATGTTCAAATTTTGGACACGGTGTAGTATGTATTGTAAACAGTCCTCCATCTTTTATGGAACAACCGTGGTAGGTTGTATTTTGAGTGACACCCGTGGTAGATTACATTTTGAGCGACATTAAATATCTTCTGAATTTGTACGTGTGGGTGAACGATGTGGGTTAAGACTGTACATTGGAATTCTCTTGTCGTTCCGTGTTCGCTCCATCAGGTCTCCCTTTGAACGTTTTGCCAATTGTTATTGCCAAAATGAGTCTTGCGCCTCAGTTTGAAATCTTAACTTTTCAAGCTGCAGACTCAATGGAGGGTAAATGGTTGGCTCCCTATTACCTGCAGGTTTCAATCGGTGTGCTGAGTCCAAGTGTTGCACAGAGGCTTCGATGGCACCCAGTTGTTTTTCATCCTTTTTAAAAAAAAAAAAATCAACATGCAATAAATAACTCAACAGCACAAGTAGTCATGCATACTCGTACTAACAGGATAGTAACTTGGAGAGGGCATTATAATCAATTGATTCTTACAAATTATGTCCATTGAATATTGATTATGTCTTGAAGCAATTGCACCAAAATGGGATGCGTTTTTTGGTTGCCACCAGCAGAGGCGCTGTTGATTTAGTGACTCATTTTTGGTGCGCCAAAGAAAATCAGCTTTGGAAAGTTGGCTCCATCCATGAAGAACCCTCTCATGGCAACATTTAATTATCTCAATGTGACATTGGAAATGAAACTGAACATTCAGATTGAGCAATCCACTGGGAAACTGTAAATAATATACATATACTTACATTGACTAGGAATTTCCCCCCCCCATCACGTCAATGAGATTGCCATGCCATTGCCATTAATTACCGTCAAGCTTTACGACATTTCACAGAAGCAAATTTAAATGCGATTTTTTTTAAAATCTTTTGATTTATGCATTTATTTAGCCAAGTGATGTCACATTGTTTCAGAGACTGAACTGTTAATTACATCTGTGCCGTCATCTTATTTTAATGACAGTGAGCAACAAAGATCCTGCGAGGAATGAGGTTTGACTCCAAACAAAATATTTTGCCCAAACATACGCGCGCGCACACACACACACACACACACACACACACACACACACACACACACACACACACACACACACACACACACACACACACACACACACGCCATACACGCACTACGTGCAGTTTCACTGGACATAAATTAAGGTCTGCATGCCCCTCAGGGAAGCTGTGTGAAGCTGCAATGCCAGTAAGTAACAAGGAGGTCAAAGACCACATATGATATAATTTCAGACGCAATGTTAAAGCGATAGCCGGGCCTACAGATCAGAACTGATAACCGAAAAAATAAAAACAAGAAGCACTCCAAAAACTAAAAGAAAAATTGACATGAAACAAGCCTGTTTTGTTGTAAAATTAGCCTCGATATTTTCCTTGTGTTATCCTGCTCAAACTTAACTCCACTCCCCAACTATCTGTTCCCCTTTTCTCTTCCGACTAAATATCCTTTTAACACTGCTTGCTCCTCTCATGTTGTTAAATATACTCAATATCCGTCACTATAAGTCATGTTTTGTTATAAGAGAATGAACAATTGACTTCCACTTATATAGAAAAAGCTCTCAATAGAATGGAGAGCCCTTTTCAACCATTTAATTGCAGCACCTTAGGTATTCGGTTTCATCTTCTCCCACGATGTGACTTATCGAGACGGATATTGAGGTAGCAAACAAATTTTGGAATGTGACCTTATATCCTTCCTAACGCTTTGCCGTTGTTACAGATCATGTCAATGGACATTGCACTAGCCCCACCTCCCAGCCCTGCTCGGCGGGGAAGCCTCGCGTCCCGATGGGTCCCGAGGGGCCACGGCTTGCTCGCAGAGGCCCTGGCCGACCGCCATTCCGCAAGGCCCAGTCTGCTGCTTGCATGGAGATCTCTTTGCCTGTGTCCCACACTGAAGGTGTGTGCTTGTCTTCCCAATTCCCACCCTTTAACCTCTTGAACATCCCTTCCCTCCAAAGAGTGCATGCTATCCTCTCACCCTGGCAGAGTGGGTTAAAAAAAAATCATGCTAATGCAAGTTTGCGGCACTGAATTTAAAGTATGCTATATATATATATATATATATATATATATATATATATATATATATACACTGTATACGAATGAAGAGGAAAACTTTATGAATCAATCGGCATATTATTAGAGATTTCATTATTTGCGTGGGGCAACTTACTTTAGGTTATTGATACATACACTGTAGTATGCTGTAGCAAATAGCTTACAACTTTGATGTATCGTTTTGTTCCAAAACAAAAAAACACAATACAAATAATATCCTACTGACTTTCCGAAACACACACTATATATCTTAGCAGCTTGCATTAGCATCATAAACCAAAATAACAAGTATGGGACGAATGCAAGAAATGACCCTTGCATTGTGTCGCTTGTACCAACCAACTTACAGGCTTGAAATACTTGTGCAATAGAATTTTTTTTCCTTCTTCTTCTTTTGCTTTCATCTATCAAACACTAATGTGAAGAAAATTAATCCTCGAGATGTAGCCACCGGCAAAGTTTTGGAAAATTTGATGTTGTTTGAAATCAATTGTGGACTTTGTCGCTCTAAAAAGTAATCAAGCTTTCTTGCTGCTCTGCTCAGTGATGTCAGTCATTGCTTAATAATGCAAGAAGACTGAATGACTTCAATGGTTGGAAACAACGTATCACTTCAGGAAAATAACACAAATGCAGAAAATTGAATGGAAAAAATATATACTTAACATACCCACACACACAAATATATATATATATATATATA